GGAAATAGCATATATGTTAAATTTGAACATCATTCAATGAAAATTTTGTTCAAAATGATATTAAAAATAAATAAAAAAAAATCAATAAAAAATAGAAATAACAATTTTATCAATAAAAATCAAACAGTAACTCCGTTTCCTTTCTACCGCTGGATTTTAATGTAACTTGAGTCAAGGAACATTTTTTAATGCACCCACAAAAAGAAATTCTTTAGTTTAGACATGAAGAATCCTGGTTTAGTTAATATTTTTTATTTTCTATGTATTTTACATAGAATGTTCTTATTAGGAACATTTTTTCGCTGACTGTTCGTATTAGGAACAGTGTTCCTAATAAGAACAGGCGAGCTATTTTTAAAAATGTAATCACTTTGTTATTACAAATTGAAAAAATCTGAACCTTGAGATTGAATGGTATCAAGTGACGAGGAACATTTTTTGTTAAAGAAGTATATCGAAATTTTTTATTCCAAGAATAAAAAAGTCAATTTACTAAAAATATTTAAATTTCTATGTATTTTACATAGAGTGTTCTTATTAGGAACACTTTTTTTGCTTGCTGTTCTTATTAGGAACAGCGCTCCTAATAAGAACAAATTCGGTTATTCGCAAACTACCGCTAATTACTTAATTAGTTTACGAGATAATTAGATGATTTTTACATCATTCGATGCAGCAGACATTTCTGCACTCAGATATGTAAAAAAAATTTTTTTACCACGAGAAATGACTTAGTAGCAAAGGAATTATTCCGACCTACAAAAAATCTGTTCTTATTAGGAACATTGACTGTACTTCATAAAACTTCTTCAGATACTTGCATAATGATTCTAGACTATCACGATCAATTTAAAAATTTTTTTTTTCTGTTCATCACTGATAATTGCTGGTAATTCATAATAAACTTTTAAAAATGAATCAAACATCAGATATACACCATTAAAACGAGTATCTGAATAATTCTGCAAGCACGTTGATAAAAGAGATTGTTTATGATATTTACGAATTTTTGTAACAATAGCTCGAACAATTTTAAATAATAATTGTGCAGCATCACATGCAGCACTATCATCGATGAATGCATGTTACAGTATTTTATTCAAATAGTGTGCACTACATCCAATACGTCGAACATCATCTTTAAACGCACACTTCATTGTATTCTCGTTGTCAATTACTATAAAAATATTATTAGACAAATAGAGACCAAATTGTTCTAAAGTTTTATTCACAAATAATCGTAAGTTAGGTGCATGTTGTGTTTCATAACCATATGCTTGGCATGCTAACGTAAAAACACGAAGTTGTGATTGTTCATCAACATAATACAGACTTAATCCGTCATAATGAATACCTTTAAGATAAAAGAAAATGTACATAACGTGTTTGTTTCATTCAAAAGAGCACAGCAACCTTACCCGTTATCTTTTCGAACCAAGAGTCGCAGGTGATACAAAAGTCTTTCAATGATTCACATATCGATACAAGCTGTTTCTTTAGATTCGAATAAACACGTTCAAAATTACGAGCAATCTATTAAAATCGAGATGATAATATGTAACACTGTGAATACAATTTTAGATAAATCGAAGTTGAATACTTACTGTACTTGGATGAGGTAATAATTCATTAACAGTTACAGATGTACCAAGACTAGCACCAGCAATTATTAATTGTTTAGCTAAATTCATAAAATCAACACCGGCAATACTTTCAAATTGACGACAATCGACTCCGCAATATTCAACACTAGCTTCTGCAATACATTTTTGGAAAAAAGGGCATTCTTTTGATGCTGATGATTGTTGACAATATGATGAAATTGTTCGTTGTCGAGATGGAGTCGTTGAAATAGATTTGTTCAAGCAATTATGATGACTCATGACCCTTGTCCCATCTTCACTTGTCCATTTCAATACAGTTTTGGATTGAAGACATATAATATAATCTAGTGGATTATTTTCATGATAGATTTGAGAAAAATTTGACCAACATTCACTTCTTTTATTTTTTGGTTTAGTGAATGATATTGATGGATCATTTAATGTTACTAAAATCTGAAGTTCAGCTTTTGATAAATTTAATTTTGTTGAGTTTGCTGAAGACATTTCAAATAATTAAATCTCGATGAATTTTAGCAACAATGATATTTTTAATATTTTTAACCAACAAGCTTCAGTCGCATGATTAGCGAAAGATTCCTTCAATCATAATTTTCTTATTCAATTAATGCGAAGTCGGATGTGACGTGTGGTGCCGCAATAAGCCGGTGATGATGCTAATACTTTTTCTAAACGCGAATTGGAAGTTAAAAAGTGTTACGGGAACGGGAACTGGAAGAACTTTTTTTTACGGGAACGGGAATACGAGAACGGGAAGAACTTTTTTTTTTGCGGGAACGGGAAACAGGAATCAAAAAGGTTGTTCTCACAGGACACTACAGTATATACTATTTAGTAGTCTAATGCTATTTGATGGGTCCCTTGAGAAAAGACGAAACTGATCATAGTTTCTCGACTCGCCCTCACCCTCAGTTAATCGTTTATCTTCTTTGTTATTTTCTCCATGGTTTCTTTGGACTTATTTCTTCGAAATAAAACACTATTTTCTTTTTTTCTGGCGCATTCATCAAGCATTATTTCGTCAGCGTGGGTCCTTTTGGCCGCTTTTTACGTGAGTCATCCTACACTCTAAAAAATTTCCGTATCCTAGGAAACCGAAAGGGGTTCGGAAACCCAATCGGAAACCCAATCGGAAACCCTTTTCCGTTTCCAAGAGGGTTTCCGAAGGTTGAAAGCGTTTCTGAAAATACCCTTTTGGTTCCCGAACGTTCGGAAACTCTTGGGTTTCCGAGAATACTCAATTGAACAGTCTAAAAATATTCTGGAATACCTTTTTCTTGCTCTCGGAAACCCAATAGTTTTCTCGGGAGCCGGAAAGGTATTGTCGAAAATCCATATTACCAGAAAAACTGGGTTGGTACCCGAAAGGGTATGCAAAAATACCTTTTCATTGCCCAAATGGTTTCCGAAAATACCTAATCTGAAATAGAGTATCATAGGAAACCAAAATGGGTTTGCAAAAATACCTAATCTAAAAATGGAATCATAGGAAACCAAAATAGGTTTCCGAATTCTGTTTGAATATTCTAAAGAGTGAGTGAGAATTTAAATATTTCTTACATGTTCATCAATTTCGTGATTGACATCCGAAAACTTCACAAAAGTAACAATGTGGATTTGAACCTTATTTTTCGATATTTTTTCTCATGTTCAGCTTCGAAGATTTTTATTCAAGAGAAAAAATTGATATAATGAGTATTTCCTATTACATTATTCAAATGTTTTCCTGTGTGAATAGTTCTATGAAATGTATAGCCATATCATTCTTCTGAAATAGTGGAATTTTATTTTCGCATTGTAATGTTGATCTAATATTTGAGAATATGAGAAAAGATACGACGTCAACGAATCAGAAACAAAATCTATAAACGACATATTGAAGCATTTAGGTATTGAATATGATGAAGAAACAGCAGTAAGTAAAGGTACAGTATGTTCACATCTGAATGACTTTTTCTGTATCCTAGAATTCTTGGCGTGCGTCTTTAATCTCGAAATATAAAAGAGAAAGGCAAAATTATAGTGATGATAAAGTCATCGAAATGAAACTTCGATACTCGAAAGAAAAATCCGGAAGAAAAATCAAGCAGATTCCAATAACACAGATATCAGAGAGAAATCACCTTAAGCATGTAAATAATAATTAAAGGATAATAAAGTCATGCATATTTTATTTTCTTAGATTTCAGTTGTGCAAGATTCACCTTGTGATATAGAATTATTAGAAAAAAAAGCTGAAATAATCAGCAAAGATTTTCAAAATAGTTCATTTGATGATCCACATTTTGAACGATTATGGTTTGAAACATATGAATATCGAAAAAATTTTATAAAACAAAACACAGTTGAAGATATTTCAAAACAATTTCCAGCTTACTCAAATCCATCTAGGGTAGTAGTAAATTAAGGCACTTCTATCATGTGATGATTTTTTTTAGATTTTAGCAGATGTTAAAATGTTAACAGGTATTGATTTGAGCCATTCGGTTCAAGAAAAACTTGATACACTTGCTGATAAAATCTGTACTACAACTAAATTTCCAACCGGTATTTTATAATTAACATCGTTGTCATCGTTAACTTTTTTTTCTAGATAGTTCATGTGTTCGCTGTTTAAAGGTATTATGTAAATTATTGAATGATTCTTGGAAACATTATATCTATTTCTATCCTGAAGTAAGCCATATATATTAATGTCTCTGTTGTATACCAAACAAAAAGAAAACAATAATATTAGATTTCATCTCTTTCTATAGTTATTTAATTTGTTAAGATAGATCGATGCTTTTTATCTAAAACTCATCGACATAAGTAGAAGCTAATCAAGTCAAAATGCTGTTCAATTAGTCATCCATTCTTCTAATGATAGGATAATTATAAATTTCTATTCATAAAATTTATTATTTGTGAAGATCTTATTTACTGAAGCTTAATTCAGATACGCTTTCAAAATAAAGCATTAGCAAGAAAAAAAATATTTAGTCTTATTTAATTTATTCCTCTTGAATGTCTTTCATTCTGATTCTTACACTCACTTTTACAGACACTGGCTTCTCCACAACCATCGATCGTAGTTGAAGATGACAATATAAAAATCAATCTTGATTGGTGCCCTAGCAGACAAGAATTCGAAAAAACGCGTGTACACACCGTAAAACTGACTTTTTCAAGCGTTTACACGCGTTAAAAAAAAAGATGGCCGTGTAAACACTCAGAATTCTAAAATTCCACCGGTGAAAACGTACAGTTTTTTTCTATTGAATATTTGTAGACGTTTTAACACCTCGAAAGCTTGCTTTGTAATCGTGTAAACGGCCATTGAGTCCAAAAACCCATTTCACGCATCAAAAAGTTGAGATTTTTGAGCGTTTTCCCCAACACTTTTATCATTCGGATTTCTGCAATAATTACTGACGACATTCATCCTTCAAAGTTGAGAGTTCTAGACGTTATTTTCTCCATATATTTTTTAGATTAACTGTTCAGAAAGTTCAAGCATTTAAACGATGGGTGCTTCAGTATTTCAACATAGTGCAGCATCAAATATTTCGGATACCTTTTTTATAGTAAATAGTAACCGTTTAGACGGCTAGTTTCATTGACTTCCAGGTGTTTCAAGATGTAAACTTTTTTGTATCCACATAGTTCTAAATTTTAAGCGTTTAAACGGCTGATATAATGCATTTCTAGAAATTTTTATACATGAATTTTTTTCATATCTGCATGCTTCGAAATTCTATACATTTAAACGAATGACATCATCAACTTCTAGCAATTTTCATGTATGAATTTTTTCGTATCTATATAGTTCAAAATTTTAAACGTTTAAACGGCTGTATAATGAATTTTCAAGTGTTTTCATACATGAATTTTCTCATATTTGTATGCTTCAAAATACTTAACGTTTAAATGCCTAATGTCAATAAGTTTTAGGAGTTTCAATATAGAAATTTTTTTATATTTACATAGTTCAAAATTCTAAACGTTTAAACGATTCATATAAAAGATTTCTAGGAGTTTTCATATATGAATGTTTTCGTAACTACATGCTTAAAAAATCCAGACGTTTAAACGCTTGATGTCAATAATTTTTAGAAGTGTCGATATCGAAATTTTTTTATATTTACATAGTTCAAAATTGTAAACGTTTAAACGGCTGACATAAAGAATTTCGAGGAGTTTTCATACATGAATTTTTTCATATCTATATGGTTCAAAATTCTAAACGTTTAAATGACTTATGTCAA